TCCCTCAGGTGCCATGGCCTCGAGGCTCCTGCACCGGCTGCGGCATGTCCTCGCCGGCGACGGCCCCGGCGGGGAGACAGCGGCCGGCCCCGAGGCCGAGCAGTTCCCGGAGAGCTCGGAGCTGGAGGACGACGACGCCGAGGGCCTGTCGTCCCGCCTCAGCGGCACCCTTAGCTTCACCAGCGCCGAGGACGACGACGACAACGACAACGACGACGAGGATGAGGATGAGGAGGCCATCGCCGACCCGCTGGCTCCGAGGGACGAGGCATCAGGAGAAGACGCAGGCGAGTGTGCGGGGATGGAGGCGGGATCCCGCTATAGGCCTCCACGGCCCAAGGGTGTGCAGCGCCCAGGCGAATCCCGGGCCGCCTCTCGGCTGTGTGACCTTTGGAGTCACAGCGACCCTTGGAGCCAAGTTTTCCCATCGCAGGATGGGCATTAAACACGAGGTCCCGGGACGCAGCCGGATAGTGACGGGCTCTTGGGGGTCGGCGTGGGGGCATTTAGCGCAGACTGGCCTCGCTGACCCTCAGTTTGCATCTCAGTCAGTGAGGGTCTGAGCTCACGGCCCCATCACGTGCTTGTGCAGATCGCAGCCTCCCAGCTGATGGCCAGCGGACTGGTCAGCACCTGGCCAAGCAGCTGCAGGATTTCTGGAAGAAGTCTCGGAACACCTTGGTTCCCCAGCGACTGCTCTTTGAGGTGACCAGCGCCAACGTGGTCAAGGACCCGCCCTCCAAGTACGTGGTGAGTGAGGGTCCAGGAGTCCCTGGGCTGTCCCCTCTGCAGGTCTAGCCAAGGCAGTGAGGCGCCTTTCTAACCCGGTGGTGGCAAGAGCCGGCTGTTTGGTTGTGCATGCAAACGACTGTCCCGTTTTACAGATGGAGAAAGTAAGGCCAGAAAGAGGATGGGACGTGAGCCAATCTTCAGGCGAATGACTTAGTTTCTCTGAGATGCACTAAAGCTTTGAGACTTGGCCCATTCTGGTTTTGAGATGGAGAGAACTGGTTTGCCTGCATGCTCCTGCCTCCCAGGGTTTTTGCAAATTTCAAGACACAAGATATAATCAGGGTCAGATTCCAGATCCCAGTGGCATGCGGTGGTGGTGAGGAAATGGGACGTGGATCCAGCCCAACCTTGACCCCCACAGCACCCACGGCTCTGTTACCCCCACCTCTGCCCTGCCCGGGATGAGGTGCACCCATGGTGACTTGGTTTCCTCAACGGGGCTCATGCAGAATACAGCAGTGCATACCATGTACCTGATACCCTCATGGGCCCTGGCACCATTAAGCACTCAATAAAATGGTCCTTATGTTAGTTGGGGTTTAAAGTGTCTGGCACTTCAGGCAGGCTGGCTTTCTGGTAACCCAGCTGAGACCATCCAGGAGCACCCACCCTCTACACAACTTTCTTATCTCAAGAACTACATACAGCAGGAGGCTGGTGGGGACTGGCTAGTGAAGAGCAGTATCGGGGGAGGGCCTTGGAGCACCCCTTTCCCTTGCTATGGAGCGCTAAGATGTGCTGGGCCCTACTCCCAGCCAGGCCTGCACTTCAGCCAAGCCGCCTTGTACTCCCTTCCTCCATATTTTTGCAGCAGCAGCAGGAAGGGGACCTCTCCACCCATCTCTGTTACTAGCCAGGGCCCCGCCCATGGGGTAACCACTCCAGATGGGGCGAGGCTGATTTCCCGGTGACATGGCTCCCAGAGCCCTGGCGGTGGCCAGGACTGGGACACTGAGGAGGTGCAGCTTGGGGGCAGGCAGCAATGGGGGTGGCTCTGAGTACTCAGAGGGCATATGGCAGCCTCCCAAAACAGGTGTCCAGAAATTTTCCCCTGGGGAATCACATCAAACAGTTAAATTGCAGCTGGGCCACTTTTGGGCTGTGTGACTGAGGCCAAGTCTCCGAATCCTTAACCCACTCTGAGCCTGCTTCCTCAGCTGACAGATAAGGACACCTCCTTTGCAGAGCTGGTGTGATGGTTAAGGGAAATCATGGACAGAAAAGTGCTTGGTATGGCAGGAGGCACGGGTTAAGTGCTGAATGAATGCAACTACTATCATTATTTTCTCTTGGCGGGACATTGCAAGGATTAGATAACAAATACACAATGGGTTTTTGTCACAAAAAAAAAAAGAAAGAAAAGAAAAAATCGAAAGTAAAAGTAAAAGCTTTGGGATATTTAGCCTCTTGGTTAAAACACCAAGTAGGGCACCATGTCCCACACTGTGTTGGCTCTGGGTTCCAGCTTCCTGCTAATATAACCCTGGGAAGCAACAGTGATGGCTCAAGTGACTGGGCTCTCCCCAGGCACGCGGGAGACCCAGGGAGAGTGCCCGGTCCCTGGCTTCACGGTGGGCCTCTGGAAAGGGAAATGGCTAGGGGGCTCTTACTCTCAATACATGAAAGTTAGATGAACACAGAGGTTATTGTAGACCAGTAACTCCGGAAGTGAATCCTGAAGACAACTGGTTCGTTAGAGGGCTGTTGATAACTGCTTTTCCCACTTCAAAAAAAAAAAAAAAAGTTTGGCAGACAATATGTTTTGGGAACAAAGAGCTACATGAGAGTAAAATAAGCTTCTGTGTTGTTCAACTTTTTAATCCTAATATGAAAATGTACACAGCAAATCAAGTGAAGGACAGAACAGACAGATCTGATGGGAGGAACACTGGCAGTGTCATAGACAAGATACAACAGGAAAGGCTGTGTTGACGCTGGCTAACCGCCCTCTCAAGCATCATCAGACTCGTCCACACTCAAGGTCTCCGATCCAGGGACCAAGCTTGCTGGCTCAGTGTTTCTCAAACTTCATTCCAGGCAGGGGTGGGGATGCCCGGCCAGGGGGCTGTAGAAGGCCCAGAAAATCACCTGGTCTGGCCCTGCCAAGGCAACCACAGGCGGGACTCGAAATTTAATACATCTGTAGCAGGCTAGTTTTTACAAGGATCATTTCCAGTAGTCTGTGGATGACATTATAAACAGTAGCGTGACCCCTGGCAGGAAAGAGTTCTCACCCTTCTGGTACCACCATTCCTACAGCCTTTTTTCCCATTTTTCTTCTCTCTAGTAAGGTGAAAAGCCAGGACTGTATTCAGAAAGCCTCTCTTGCCAACAGTAAGAGTGGAGGTGACACAGTGCCACCAAATGCCGCCTAGAAGCTGTCCTGCCAATGAGGCTGACCTGAGATTCTCCCTCTGGCTCCTTTCTAAATGTGGAGGCAAGAAGTGTTAAAGAAGTGCTTTTTAAACACCAAACTGAGATCTCACTTTGTAGTCAGAAAAATTGAAAAAAAGACTGAAAGGGAGAACGCCCTCCCGTCTCCTTCCACACACTTTCATGTGGACAAGTGAAAGGCCTCAATCCCACAGCCATCCCCTGTTAGGGTCAACTCTGACCTGGCCCAACACTCCTTTCACTGGAGACAGAAGCACGCTCAGGGAGGGATGGCCTTGTCCGGGGCCATGCAGGGAGGAAATGGCTGACCCGGCTTGGAACTGCAATGCTAGAGCAGTCAACTTCTCCCAGTTTCTGCCTTCGGGCTGTCTCAACCTGTCTAGCATGGAACATCCAGGCCAGGGATCGGGGGAGGGGGGCTGTGTCCAGCAGGGACCAGAGCTCCAAGCTGGTCCTAAAGGCCAGCACCTCCAGGGCCAGACTTTCAGCTCACCAACTGGCCTGTGAGAAAAGCATATTCCCCAGAAAGGGCGCGAGGGCCAGCGGGGCTGCTGGAGCTCACCTCTGTCTTTCTTTCCCTGTGCTGCCTTGAGCCTGGGTCATTTCAGCCGAGTCTCAGGTAAGAAGGCGATGGGCTCCCGCTTTCCTGGGTTCAGTGCCAGGGGTGAAGGGCAGCGATGGGGGAGCAGCACCAGGGGTGTGAGAGGCGCGCAGGCAAGGGGGCCGGTGCACAGGTGTCCCTTCCCTGATTCCCACCCTCCGCACAGCTCTACACCCTCACCGTGACCGGCCCAGGGCCACCAGACCGCCAGCCAGCCCAGATCTCTCGCCGCTACTCAGACTTTGAGAGACTCCACCGAAACCTACAGCGGCAGTTCCGGGGCCCCATGGCTGCTATCTCCTTCCCCCGGAAGCGCCTGCGCCGGAATTTTACTGCTGAGACCATCGCCCGCCGCAGCAGGGCCTTCGAGCAGTTTCTGGGCCACCTGCAGGCGGTGCCAGAGCTACGCCATGCCCCGGACCTACAGGACTTCTTCGTGCTGCCGGAGCTGCGCCGGGCACAGAGCCTCACCTGCACGGGTCTTTATCGCGAGGCTCTGGCACTCTGGACCAATGCCTGGCAGCTGCAGGCCCAGCTGGGCAACCCCTCTGGCCCAGATCGGCCCCTGCTGACCCTTGCTGGACTGGCTGTGTGCCACCAAGAGCTGGAGGATCCTGGGGAGGCCCGTGCCTGTTGTGAGAGAGCCCTGCAGCTGCTGGGAGACAAGAACCTCCATCCTTTCCTGGCACCCTTTCTGGAAGCCCACGTCCGGCTCTCCTGGCGCCTTGGCCTGGACAAGCGTCAGTCAGAGGCCCGACTCCAGGGCCTGCAGGAGGCAGGCCTTACACCCATGCCACCCCCCAGCCTGAAAGAACTGCTCATCAAGGAGGTGCTGGACTAACCCTGGCTTAGGCCGAGGGTCAGTACTCCCAAATGGCAGGAGGAAGATTGTGCTGTAGACACAGAGAATAGCTGGGAGGCTGTAGGAGGTGTTTGGGGGACCCTAAAAATTCCACAAAGAGATAGTGTGGCAGTGTGAGGAGACTGCTTTCAGGACAAGGTTCAGCTGAGGTGGCCTGAGATGGTATCAAGAAGTCGGCCACAGCCATTGCAGGGGCTGCGGCCAGCAAGGCAGCCTGGCTGCAGGCCGAGGGTCTCTGCCCCCAGGATTCTAAAGGTGAGGATGGAGGGAGGGCTGCAGCTCTGGCCCAGGGAATTAAAGGCCACTCCATTGGTATGAGTCTCTTTATTGGATGTGGGGGGACAGAAGACTCTGCCCTCAACTGTAATTCCTGCATCAGGATCACAGGTGGGAAGAGGCCTTGGGAGGCTCAGGGCAAGCTGGTGCCTCTGGCTATAGCTTGCTCTGTGAGACCTGGGGCTTCACTCGGATCACACCCTCCTGGGCACAGGTCACAGCTAGGACCCCGTCCTGACGCCACAGCCGCCCATGGACCAGCCCCCGGGAGCCACCTGTGGGCGAGAAGGGTGAGAAAGGGCTTCTCTGTATGGCAGCACAGCCAGTAGCACTTCTTGCTGAGGCTCTGGCCTGAGCAGGGGCTGCCCTGCACAAGGCCTTGGGCTGCTCCGGCTGCTCTGAATCTCCAGGTAACCCTTTATGAGCCTACTGGACAGTCGCTGACAGGGCAGCTCCTCCCACAAGAAATCCACTTAGTAATCTGAAAGTGTACTCACCAACCTGCTCTCTTGCTCAGATCAGAGGGAGGAGCTCTGAGAACAGTCCCCCGCAATGGCTCAGCACAGCAGATCTGCTGTACCTCTGGCCCACTGGGGTAGGAAGCCATCAGTTCCCTTGTGAGCAGTCAAGCCAGGGCCTCCAGGTTGGCAGTCCCTGAACATCTTCCCCACTGCCACCAAGCAGGACTTGATGAGGGGGCTCAGGGAGGTGACACCTGAGGCCACAAGATGTGGCCTCCCTCTCTCCACCTGGACATTCTTCCTGAGCGTGATGTTGCTTGTTCGGAAAAGTGCGGGTTTCCCTCCCACGGGGCAGGACTCACTGGGCTCTCATGGGAGCAGTATAAATTGTTCTGTTTCCTAGACAAGACACTGAAGTCCCAGAGAGGCCCAGGAGCTCGGGCCTCAGGCGGGCTGACCTGAGCCCCAGGGTCTGCCTTCAGGTTTGTGTACCTTGTTGGTTCTCCAGTGAACCCCTTCCCTGGGTACAGAGTCCCTTATGTGCTGTCCCAGTTTGACACAGCAAGGCAGCTCTTCTGAAGACGTACTTTCTTGGAGAGGAAGCAGGGTTCTGACACAGCACGGAGCCGTGAAGCCCTGAGGGACCAGGGACTGATGTGACCTCTCAACATGCTCATCAGATCACTTCGGGCACTCTGCGTGAGTAGTTTCCGGGGCGTCATCCACCACCCGCTGAGTCAGAATTGTGGCAGGGTGGAGTCAGAATCTATCTGAACAAAGCTCCCTCAAGCAGCTGGCTGTTGAGCTATCAGGTTTGCACCCTACTTGCTTAGCTGGAAAACTCAGAGGGGAGCCAAGAGCTGCTGAGTCCAACTGGAGACCCTGGAGTTTCTCTTTACTGGACCTGGGTCTCTGAGCAAGTGAATCATCTTCTCAGCATGTGAGAGGACTTGAGAGCTAAGTGGGCCCCAGGAGAGGAAGTGACCCATGCAGAGCCCCAGAGGAACTGGGAGGAGGCAACACACCCAGGAGAGCGGGCTCTCTCCACCCTGAGGTCAGCACCCCTGTGCCCCTGGCATGTACTCACCCGCCCAGGGGCTCTCGCACTCATACAGCATCCAGTGGTCGGCTCGGAAGGGGGCGTGGAACCACATGGAGTGGTCCAGTGAGACCAAGACGCTCACTTTATGCTGCCCCTGGTGGGGCAGCAGCGCCGTGCCCAGAAAGGCATAGTCTGAGATGTAGGCCGCCACACAGCAGTGCATCTTCATGTCGCCCTCCCCTGCAACAGGTTCCAGCCAGGTCAGCCCTGGGCTCCTGGGCCTTACAGCTCAGGACCTACAGGGGGTGGGGAAGAAAGGGACATCCACACACGAATGTACAGATCAGCTGCTGGCCAAGCTGTGTGTGTGACTGGACAAAGGAGGTGCGGGGGAGACATGGGCTGGGGTCAGCAAGGACAAAAAAAAAAAAAAAACAAAAACAGGTTTCATCCCCCAAGTCTCCTGCCCTAGGACCAGGCAGGCGGGCCAATCTTCCAGTCTGCACAAAAGGCACCTTGCAGTTGGCAGCAAAGTGGGAAAAGAATCAACAAGATGCCTTGCCTTCCAGGAGAATCCTCTGTTGGAGTTCAGCCGCCTCCTCTCTTTCCCTATGCAGAGGGGCTGAGAGCGCCCTGGTGCAGAGCTGAGCCAACCACCCCATCATGCAGATGAGAAAGGCCCACAACAGAGGCAACGCACCCAAGGTTGCACAGGGCAAGCGGGTGGCAGGCCTGGGCCTCTGCAGAGTGTGTGCCCACAGTGACTGGGGTCTTCTTACCAATGTAGCCCCGGGACCGCACCCAGAACATCTGTCTGGGTTCCATTTTTTGTAGCTGGTTCCGGGAGTGTGGGTTTACCACCTTGATCTCAATGGGCACCTCCTTGGCAGTGATTCGGTTCAGCCCCACTCGGTACTTCTTTTGGAGGTTAGGGTCACTGAAAGTCAAAGGGAAAGGATCAAGGAGACTCCAGGAGAGGGGGAGCCTCTTGTGACCACCCCTCATTCTTCCAGAGGGACTCCTGCTGCCCCCAGAGCTCCCCTCCCGTTGAGGCAGCAGAGGAGCGAAGTGTGGGCATCCTTTCCTTGCCACTGAGCAGCCACGTGGTATCGTGTACGCTGGTCATCTCCCTGGACCTGCTTTCCTATCTGTCCAGGCCGGAGAGTGACAGTAACCCACATCTAACACACACATGATCACGTACACAAGCCCAACATCGTATGAGCACACATGACCACATGTGGAGTTTCAAGCACTGCACACTCAACTCATTGCTCAAAACAACCCTGTGAGAGAGGAACTGTTATCACTCCCTTTTGGTGACTGAAATGAGTCCAGAGAGCCTAGGCAGCTTGCTCAGAGTGCAGAGGCAGAATTGTAACTTGGAACCACCACTGCCAGATTTGGGGGACTCACTAGCAGGGAGCATTGTGAACCCCTCCACCTCCAGGGACAGCAGTGACCACCCACCAGGCTCTCAGAGCTTGCCATTTCCATTCCCCCAGGGGCACCGTCCATGTGAATCGAACAGGCCCTGCTGAAGGATGTTCATTGCTGTGTCCAATCTGATAATCACTATTCAGCACTTAAAACTACTGAGCACTTTAAAATGCACCTAGTCGGGCCCGGTGTGGTAACTCAGTGACTAAAGTGCGCACCTTGCATGTGCTGGGATCCCATATGGGCACCAGTTCTAATCCCAGATGCTCCGCTTCCCACCCAGCTCCCTGCTTGTAGCCTGGGAAAGCAGTTGAGGACGGCCCAAAGCCTTGGGGCCCTGAACCCACGTGGGAGACCCAGAGGAAGCTCCTGGCTCCTGGCTTCAGATCAGCTTAGCTCCGACCATTGCAGCCACTCAGGGAGTGAACCAGCGACGGAAGATCTTTCTCCTCCTCTCTGTAAATCTGACTTTCCAATAAAAATAAATAAATCTTTTAAAAAAATGTGGCTAGTGCAAGCAAGGAATAGAATTGTAAATTCCAATTCTTCTTTTTTGTTTTGTTTTTAATGATCTATTATTTTTATTGGAAAGGCATATCAGATTTACAGAAGGAGAGTCAGAAAGATCTTTCATCCGCTGGTTCATTCCCCAAGTGGCCTCAATGGCCGGAGCGGAGCCAATCCAAAACCAGGAGCCAGGAGTTTCCTCCAGGTCTCCCATGCAGGTGCAGGGTCCCAAGGCTCTGGGCTGTCCTTGACTGCTTTCCCAGCCACAAGCAGGGAGCTGGAAGAGAAGTGGAGCAGCTAGGACACGAACTAGCACCCATATGGAATCCCTGCGTTTGTAAGGTGAGGATTTAGCCTTTGAGCTATCTCACTGAACCCAATTAATTCATTTTTACACTTAATCTTAGCCAAAAGGCCAAGAAGTGATAATTAATTCATTTTTAATAACAGATTTATTTGAAGTTGGGATTGTGGCACCAGTTGCGTTGTTGTCTGCAAGACCGACATACCCTACAGGTGCCGATTTGAGTCCTGGCTGTTCTGCTTCTGATCCAGCTTCCTGCTAATGTGCCTGGGAAACAGTAGGAGATGGCCCAAGCACTTGGGCACCTCTGCCATCCAAGTGGAAGACCCGCATGTTGTTCCAGGCTCCTGGTTTCAGCTTGGCCCAGCCCTGGCCATGGCAGCCATTTCAGGAGTAAACCAGTAGATGGGAGATAGTTCTGGCCCCCTTCCTCTCTCTCAGTTTCTGTCTTTCAAGTAAATAAATATATCTGAAAACAAAAAAATTTCCCTCATGCAGGCAGTCACCCTGCCATGTGGAAGTAAGTGTTCTGTTTCCCACCAGGGGGTAGTCCAGCAGATTCTCCCCTAATAAAACTCCTTGCTTGAAAAATAAAATTACTTACTGGAAGGCAAAGTGACAGAGAGGAAATATTAGAGGGAGAGGAGAGAGGGGAAGAAGGAGGAGGGAGGGAGGCCAAGCAACTGGGAATAAACTCATCCACTGGTTCATAGCCACAACAGACAGGGCTGGGTAAGGCTGATGCCAGGAACCAAGAACTCTCCCACATGGACGGCAGGGTCCAAGCACTGGCCCTGCCATTGTTGCCTTCCCAGGCACATTAGCAAGGAGCCTGGATGGGCAGTGCAGCAGCAGGGACTTGAACCAGCACTCCAGTATGGAAGGCCTGAACTGCAACGCTGCCCCTTCATTTTAATGAATTTAATATAACCGCCATGGCTAGCAGCTGCCTTACTACACAGCACAACTCCAAACTCAAGGTCCCTTAACAGTGATATTTTCCTTGCATCAGCTGTTGATTCCAGCCAGACACCAGGCCCAGTGCTTGCTCCTCTCTGTTAACAGTGTGGTCTAACTACACTTTACAAGCAGCTACCAAGTATACAGCAGGCTCATGAGGTAGGAACGATTAGCATCATCTTATAACAGGGTACCAACTCAGGGTAGGAGTTGGCCCAAACTGACACAGCTATCAAGGACAGAGTTTACGTTTAAATTCAGGCCTTTCTTGCTCCCACATCTGGCTTGGTCCCACCCCACTTAGCTGCCTCACAACATCTAGTTCTCCTGATCATGAAGGCTTTCCGCCCTAGGAAGTAGGCAGAGTGGAAATGACCATTCCCACATTTATGATGAAAAAGTTAGGGTTTGACGGTGGGGGATTTGGTCTAAGTCCCGCAGCAGGTGGGCACCAGAGGCACAGTCCGGCCAGAATCCATGCGTCTGTCCTGTGGATGAACCCAGAGCTCTTTGCTCCCACACCAGTGCTCTTCAAACTTTACTGAATGGAGTACAAGCAAGAAGGATATTTTACCGGGTGACAGGCAAACTATTCAACATGCAACAAGGCAAAGGCAGTGACCACGCAGATACAGACAAGAGCCCTAGGGCAGAGTCTGAAGCATCTCAGCCCAGCCGTGGGCCTGAAGGAAGGAGGGGGTTACGCAGAGGGCACAAGAGAGGGCTGTGCCCCCCCATTAGGACGGATTTCAATAGGTGACACCTAGTCAAGCTGTCACAATGCCTGTACAGACTGAATATAAGCCTGGCATATGTCATGATCTCCCCCGAAAGCACACACACACACACACACACACACTCAGAGGGAGTCTTACACACTCCAATATGCTCTTCCCAGTCTGTGTTTTTAAATTGCTAGTTGAGGCCCACTAGCAGGGCTGCAGAACTTTTTTTCTGTGAAGGGTCATTTAGGCATTTACAATTTCATTCACAGACTCTACAAGATAACCAACTTAAACATTAGCCTGCCCCAGATGTATTGAATTTCATGTCCTGCCTCTACTTGCTTTGGCAGGGCCAGACTAGATAGCTGCTTTTGCGGCCCTTGTATGGCTCATCAGCCAGCTGTCCCCACCCCTAGAGGATTCTGCCAGCCACTATCAGGTGGCCAGCAAAGTGTGACAACCGTGCCCTGGGGCGACCAGGTGTCTCACCTTAAATATTGGCCAATGAGGGTATCGTAGTCAGGCAGCTCTTCTGGTGGGGGCACAGTGGGCATGGAGAACTGGTGCTGCACGGGGCTGGGCTGCGTCTGCTGGAAGGAGGCCTGGCAGATAAAGATGGGCTTTCCATGCTGCACGGCCTTCACGGAGCGCACGGAGAAGCTCATCCCCGTCCGTGTCCGCTCCACCTGGTACAGCACTGGCACCTTCGGGTCGCCTGCATTGGGTACAAGGGACAAGGGGAGTCTGAGTGGGCCTGTCTGTCATCCGCACATCCTCCTAGCCTTTTAAAGATTTATTTTTATTGGAAAGGCAAAATTACAGAGAGAAAGGGAGACAAAGATTATCCATCTGTTGATTCACTTTTCAAATGGTCACAGCAGCCAGAGCTGAGCCCACCCAAAGCCAGGAGTCTCTTCCAGGTCTCCCACGCAGGTGCAGCATCCCAAGGACTTGGGCCATCCTCCACTGCTTTCCCAGGATAAATCAGGGAGCTGGATGGGAAGTGGAGCAGCCGGGATACAAAATCAGCACCCATATGGGATCCCAGCGCATGTAAGGCGAGGACTTTAGCCACTAAGCTACTGTGCTGGGCCCTGAATAAATTTGTAAAAAACAAAATTCGAAAGCTCTAAAGAAATCCTTGGGTTATTGCTAAAATACAAATTGCCTAAGAGGATTGAAGAGCTGCAGCACTTTGCTGTCCCTTTCACTGTGATGGAGTTCCCAACCTACTGCTGCAAACTTTCACTAGAACAGAGCAGACAGGGGCCAGCTAATCCTCTACTGCAAGCACGGACATCTCATTCAGGCCACTGGTTTGTGTCCTGGCTGCTCTGCTTCCAATTCAGCTTCCTGCTAATGGCCTGGGAGAGCAATAGGGAATGGTCCAAGTCCTTGGCACTCTGCATCCATGTGGGAGACCCGGATAAAGCTCCTGGCTTCAGACAGTCTCTCCAGCTGTTGTGGCCATTTGGGGAGTGAACCAAGATGGTAGATTCTCTCTCCCCCTTCTTTCTATAACTTTCAAATAAAAACAAAACTGTAGAAAACCAGTAACAGACTAGCCTGACCTGCACTAGATGTTTTACCTGTAAAGATCCATAGAGGGTTCAACACAGTAGCCTAGTGGCTAAATCCTCGCCTTGCACGCACCAGGATCCTATATGGATGCCAGCTAATGTCCTGCCAGCTAATGTCTTCCCATCCTGCTCCCCGCCTGTGGCCTAGGAATGCAGTCAAGAATGGCCCATAAACTTGAGATTCCGTACCATGTGGGATATGTGGAGGAGGTTCCTGGCTCCTGGTCAGACCAGCCATTGTGGTCACTTTGGGTATGAATCATCGGACAGAAGATCTTCCTCTCTTTCTCTCCTCCTCTCTGTATAACTGACTTTGCAGTAAAAATTTTAAAATTAATTAAAATAAAAGATTCATAGATTTCTATCAACAGAATGAATTCAAATTGATTGGATAAAGTCCCCGCAAAAAAAAGAAAAAAATAAATAGCCAACTATCAAAGTAGGTTAGGGTTACCACATCCAAAAGCTAGGACTTGCACAACCATACCAAGTAAATCAAGTACAGATTTACTTCCAACTAGTGTAAAGTTTGGGGTCATGCTAAGGATCCACGGTAGGTTTCAAGTGTGTTATTAACAATGGCTGCCAGGATGGACAATGCAGAAACAGTGGGGCATGAGGGACGTGGGATAACATGAAAAACTGTATTTCTTATCTAACTTTTATATTTGTAAAATGGGTGCCGGCACTGTGACATAGCAGGTAACGCAGCACCTGCAATGCTGGCATGCCATATGGGCTGCAGTTCCAATTCAGCTCACTGATAAGGCACTTGGGAAGGCAGCAGAAGGCCCAAATACCTGGGCCCCTAGACCAACGTGGGAGACATGGATGAAGCTCCTGGCTCTGGCCTGGCCCAGCACTGGCCACTGTGGCCATCTGGGGAGTGAACCAGAGGTTGGAGAGCTCTCTCTCTCCCTCTCTCTATATATAGATATATAAAACTCTGCTTTTCAAGTGAACCAAATTTTCAAAAAAAAAAAAAGGTTTATATATTTGTAAAATGAAGGAGAAAACATCACTTTGTTTAGCCTCTTCCAGTCAGCGGCACCTGCCTCGGGGGTGAGGGCGAAGGAGAGGAAGCAAGTGAGGTTTTCATTCCTTCTTTAAAAAAAAAAAAAAAAGGATACAGGGGACTGGTACAGTAGCCTAATGGCCAAAGTCCTCGCCTTGCATGCACAGGGATCCCATATGGGCGCAGTTCATATCCCAGCTACTACAGTTCCCTGCTTGTGACCTGGGAAAGCAGCAGAACATGGCCCCAAACCTTGGGACCCTGCACCTGCATGGGAAGAAGCTCCTGGCTCCTGGCTTTAGATCATCAGTGCAACCACTTGTGGAGTGAACCAGGGCATGGAAGATCTTTCTTTCTCTCCTTCTCTCTGTAAATCTGACTTTCTAAGAAAAATAAATAAATCTTTACAAAATGATATTAATAAATAAAATTAAAAGGACACAGATGTTATATTATTTCTCACTCCTTATATTTGACTCCAGAGCTATAAGCACCGTACAGAACATACAAAGTCCAGCCCTCCTCATCTTTTTAAAAGATTTATTCTTATGGATTTGAGAGGCCATTTAACAGAAAGAGTGACAGAGTAACAGAAAACGAGATAATCCATCTGCTGGTCACTCTCCAAATGGCCACACTAGCCAGGTCAAAGCCAGGACCCCAGCACTCCATCTTGGTCTCCTGTGTAGGTGCAGAGGTCCAAGCACTTGGGTCACTTTTCACTGCTTTCCTAGGAGTATCATCAGGGAGCCAGGCTGGAAGTGGAGTAGCTGGGACTTGAACCAGTGACAGCTTAACCTTCTGTGTCATAACATGGGCCCCATTATTTCTATTATTATTTAAAAATTTTTTGATTAAAAGGCAGTAAGACAAAGAGAAACAGAGAGAGAGAATCTTCTGTTGACTCGCTGACCAAATTCTCCCAATGTTCAGGGCTGGATGAGGCAGAAGTTGGGAACTAGGAACCAGGAACTCCATTTGGGTCTTCCACGTGGGTTGTAGGGCTCCATTTCCTAGTGGCCCTTAGAGTGTGCCTGAACAAGAAACCAAAACTGGAAGCAGATCTGGGACTCCAGCCTGGGGCCACTGACGGGACCATGGGAGTCCCAAGTGGCAAGTGGCATTGTAGCTGCTGTGCCACGTGCTGCCACCGTGTTTACAGATGAAGTGAACCAAGGCCCGGGACAGTCATTCTCTCCCAAGGCTGTCTGACAGATTACAAGCAAGACTGAAGCCAGGCCCTTGGAGCTACAGATTCTCCCCTTGCCCAAGCTGCCTACATGCCAACCCCTAGCAGGTAACAGTACCTCTTTGCAGATGCTGCCGTAGGGGTTAAGTACCAGAAGAGTATGAATGGAATGAAGGAACTAAAGCACCGCACAAAGTCTGTTTGGCAAAAGACTCGTGCCTTCATGGGTCAGAGAACAAGTGTTGGGTGCACCTCAGAGGCCGAGCGCTCCAAGGACTTGGTCCTATCCTGTACCTCTCTGGGAAGATGGCTTCCAACTCCATCTTTTTCACTGTCCCCAGTGCCCTCCCACCCCTCCCCAGCAGGGCTGGCATTGGGGAAGGGGCTTTACCTGCCCGAACAAAGTAGCAGTGCAAAGAATGCACATGAACGTCTTCACTCACAGACTTGGCGGCGGCCACCAGGGCCTGGCCCACGATCTGCCCTCCAAACAGCCGCTGGGTGGTGGGGACCCAGTAATGCCTCCCTCTGTGGGGAGAGCAGAAAAGCCAGAACTGGACTCTAGCGTTTGAGTTTTGAGTGCAGCAGCTCTTAACCATATTGGGGCCGGAGGTCTTTTTCTGAATCCAGTCAAAACCAGACCGCTATCTTTAGATCCCTTGGCACGAGACCTCACAGTTTTCTGCAGAGTGCAGACAGGAGGATCAACCTCTTCATTTTACACCAGGGGCACAAGGATGAGACACACAGTGACTTGAGCAAGCTCACAGAGCTGACACGGTGCCAGGCATGGCCCCATCTGGCCTTTGATCGCAAGTCCAGTGTCTCCTCTGTCCCAGAAGCCAGGGTGAGGGAGAAGCTGAAAGGAACACCAGGGGCTGGCCTGGGCAGTTCTGAAGAAGGTCTTCCACCTCTCGACCACAACTACCCCCCATTCCTCCTAACTCCTCCAGGCTGAAGAGGGTTCAAAGGTTTGCCCAGCACCCAGTATTTAACCTAACAATGCACTGCCACTAAACCTCGGAAAGGAAGGATTAAGGGATCCTGGGAGGAGGAACTACCAGCACCCCTCACACTGAGCTGGCGAGTGGAGATGCAAGCAGCCGCGTGCAGATGCTAAGGCAGATCCACTGTGCGCACCTTCTGGGCTGGCTCCTGTGTGGCAGGCTAAGGGCCAGGTGCCTAGCAGGGAGCTTCAGGCGGCTCTGAGTGCACCTCCGCCTGCATCCCGGCCCCGGAGCCGACGGCCAGGGCCATGGCAACCGTCGGGATCAGCGGTCTCCACCCTCAAATGGGGCACGGGACAGACGCCCCCGGCTACCTGAAGAGATCCTCGTCCAGCGGCTCGAGGCTGAGCACGCTGGTGACCAGGACGCTACGAAGATCCTGGGGGTCGTCGTCGCGGCCCTCGCTGCCCTGCCCGTGCTCCGGGGTCTCAGGAGACATGTTGCTCTCTCGCCGCCCGGCCAGGTACAGTGCCCAGGGGCTGGACCTGCGGCACAGCTACTCGGCAGCCTGCGCTTCCGGTAGATCCTCTTTACCTACCGGAAATCCTGATGCGGTTGATGATTGGTGAATGCGTCTGTCAATCTCCTGGTGGGCGTGGCTCCCTTTCTTGGGCGTTTGGAGAACAGCAATGCCCGTCTGGGAACTCTAGGTGTGATTGGATACGACCGCGAAGGGGCGGAGCCTTCGGGATGGATAACACGGACTCGGTGTCATTTCCCCCCAGACCCCCTCTGTTAGGAAGCCGAGACGCCCCCAGCCTCATAACCTGGTCTGGCGAAGAAGCCCTGCTGAGCTCCGTCATAGGCCTCCCAACTGGGGCTGCCCGTTCAGGAGCCCTGGGCACCGCGCCAGGCTGGGAATTCCCCTGGTGTGACCTCTGACCCCGGTGAGATACCGGGCCCGGGGTTCGAGGCCAGCTCCCGGTGTAGGCGGCCATGGAGCTGGGCAGCTGCTTCAAGACCTATGAGGATTTCAAGGAGTGCTTCAACGCGTACAAAAAGGAGAACAGGTGTTCCTTCATCCTCAGAGACTGCGTCTCCGTCCGCTTCCACAACCTCAACCACGGCACCTCCATCCGCGAAGATGTCTTGTAAGGGCGGGGCGGGGCGGGAGGCTGGGAGGAGGAGGGCCCGAGGGAGGAGGGCGTGCGGCGCGGCCCCGCTCTGCAACAGGCGCTCCTGGAGCTCTCGCTTGTGAAGCCGGAGGGAAGCCGCTCGGCTGTTCACAAACCCTTTTGGAATTCCTAGGTGAAATTTCCCGCTCTCCCCCTTTCCCGTTTTTTGAGCACCTGCAGTAGCCTAAGGTGCAAAGGGGGTAAAAACGCCTTTGCAGTGGTAGGGTCATTTGTGGGTTTGTCCATTCATTCATTCATCACTCAAGTATGTGGTTCCGGGAGCATCCGGTAGTGGCAGTCGTTTGCAAACACTTCCCATTTCCATATCGCCAACAGCTTTTTCTGTCAGGGGTGCTGGAACTGTTAGCTTTTTGGAGCCACAAAGGCACACCACAAGCCAGGACGCAGTCGGAAGGATGACGGCTATGGCTGTCTCTAAAATCAAACCAAAAGAGAGCGGCAGCCGGCTGGCAGAGGATGAAGGTGATATGGAGAGAGTCTTTTAAGTGATGGACTGCTGCTGGGGGACAGCCCAGGACCACTTCCACATGCTGGGGTGACCCTGTAAGGGAAATGGCCGCCCATGGTGTACAACACTGGGCTTTTAAACGCCTTAGGTGTGGGGGCAGGGGAGGATAGCAGGTCCTTGGTTTGCGCACGCTTCTGATGGGTGTTGATCTGCGCAGACTCATTCCAAACATTCCTGGATGGGAGTGTGTTTGACTTCAGCAGAGTGCTGGAGTCACCTCTGCTTAGCCCCAATAAGAATCTGCAGCTCAGTTTTCAGAATGACAGGTCATTGTTATTTATTTTGTTTTTCCATCGAACAAATGAAAACAGATTTAGAAGCTAAGATGGGTGAAAAACTCCAAAGCCTTTAACGGCGGTTGGGGGGGGCTCCAATAAAACAGCCCACTATAGGAGAGTGCAACTTGTAATTCTTTAGTAAAAGGAATGAAGGCAAAACAGCGCTCAGCAGGGCGTGGTGGAAGGGACAGCAGTGGAAAGCAGGCGCCGTGAGGTCATCTGTAGCTACTGGCTCCTGTGTGACGTGATCTGATCTTGATGGGAACGTGTCCAGCTTTTACACACGGTTAACCCCTTTGAACCTGAAGACACACCACGTGGGCCAATCCTGAGAGTCAGTGTCCCTGAGTTTGACATCTAAGGGGAGATGTCTGGCTTTTAGTTAGAGACCCAGCCTACCCTGGGAGAACTTGGAAAAGATTTGGATGTAGACAGGCTGGCCAGCGTGGACAGCTCCCTGCCTGGGCAGCTGCTGTATAGAAATTCTACCTCTGCACTGAAAATGTAAACTTAAAGAAAAAATTCTCTAGGGGTGGGGAGGGGGGAGCAAGGAAAAAATGACTCCCTAAATAATAAATACAGCAGTTATGGCTTGTATCATGAGTAAGCTAAGGGTGGATCAGTAATCCAGGGATAATTTGAAGTCTAGAGATCCACTAAATCATTTTGTATACAAGACTTGTGTCTTGCAGGTTTTGGGAAGGTGGGGTGGAGGCCGGAGTGTCCTGCAGCTATTTCCCCAGGAGATGAGAGATTACAGAGGGTGATAAAGATGCCTAGGGGGTGGGGAAGGGCTTCCCCTTGGAATGAATGGTTCCTCGGGGCTGCTGATAAATGCAGAAGACATGAATGGGAGACTTGTGATTGCTTACCACACCATAGCCTAGTAGAGGAGTTTGACCCAGAGGAGCTGTGCGCAGTGGTCCAAGGAGCAACGACCTAGACCTCAGAAAGGTGATATTTTGGAGCAACTGAGTGGAGCACCTTGCTTGGCAGGCGCTGAGGGCAGTTGCAGTCCCTTGGCAGGGTCTTCAGGTGCCCCTGGTGAAGTAGTTGGACTTGATGCTGTAAGAGTGGCCCCTGGCTAGGCAGAGGTCTGTGAGAAAATCCCCAGCAGCCTTGAACACTGGGTAGACCATCTCCAGTATGTAGCACAGGGTTTGGCCCAAAGCAGGCATTTAATAATCGCTGCATGGGCAGGAGTCTTCAATGTAAACATATGCTTTAGGGAAATGGGTGCTGCATACACTCAGAAAATGCAGCAAGATGTCAGAGAAAGGCAAGTTTGAGACTGATTCCCAGAACTGGGGCGATGTCAGGAGATGTGCTTGTTTTTCTATTTGTAGTTCTTTTTAAAATGACAGGCTTAGTGGCTTAGAACGGTGAATTTCTTGTTTTCCACCATGCCCTGTGCTGGAAGTCAGACCCGGGTTTTCCTGGTGACCCCTTGGAAATAATGCAGTCTGCAAGGCTGCGTTTCTTCCTATAGGCCCTAGGGGTCGCACTGTTTCCTTTCTTCAGCAGCTGCTGCAGCTGCCATCACTATGGCTCTAGGCCCCTCTGCCTTCCAAGCCAGGGAGAACAGGTGGGGTCCTGACCTCTCTCGCCTTTCCTCTGCCTCCAGTCCCTACTTCACTCTTGTACTTCTGAAGATCGTCCTGATGATAGAGTCCAGGCTGTAGCCAAGGATAATGCCCCTGCCTCCTTGATTTTGGAAGTCATAGTTACAGAGAGAAACAGAGATCTTCCATCCGCTGATTCACTCCCAGGATGGCCACAATGGCCTGCACAAGGCCAGGCCAAAGCCAGAAGGTCTTAAAATTTTTTCTGTTTACTTCTTTTTCTTTCTTTCTTTTTTTTTTTTTAAGATTTATTTATTTTATTGAAAAGGCAGTTGTACACAGAGGAGGAGAGACAGAGAGGAAGATCTTCTGTCCAATGATTCACTCCCCAAGTGGCTGCAATGGCCGGTGCTGCACCAATCCAAAGCCAGGAGACAGGAACTTCTTTCTGGGTATCCCACACGGGTGCAGGGACCCAAGGCTTTGGGCCGTCCTCGACTGCTTTCCCAGGCCACAAGCAGGGAGCTGGATGGGAAGTGGAGATGCTGGGACTAGAACCGGCGCCCATATGGGATCCTGGCATGTTCAAGGTGAGGACCTTAACCATTATGCTATTGCACTGGGCTCTGTTTACTTCTTTTTCAAACAGTGTGGTTTAAAATTCAGTTTTTGAAACAGGAGGGTTTAAAATTCAGTATATGGGCAGGGGTTTCGTCCTGTGTCAGAGCGTCTGGGATCAAGACCCAGGTCTCCCTTTCGGTTTCCTGTCACCCTGGGAGGCAGCAGGTGGTGTCTGAAATGCTTGAGTCCCTGCTGTACACAGAGGAGACCCAGATGGAATTCCCAGCTTCTGACTTCAGCCTGGCCCAGCCCCACATGCCACAGGCATGTAGGAAGGGAACCAGCAAATGGATGGAAAATTGATTAATATCTCTCTTAAAATGTTTGCAATTAAAAACAAAGTGTTGGAGCTGGCACATTTGCTCAGCTGGCTAACCTTCCACCTCCTAGCACCAGCATCCCGTATCGGTGCTGGTTTGGGTCTCGGCTGCTCCACCTGTGGCCTGGGAAAGCAGCAGAGGATGGTCCGAAGCCTTGGGGCCCTGCACCCATGTAGGAGACCCGGAAGAGGCTCATGGCTTCTGGCCTTTGCAGCCATTTGGGAAGTGAACCAGTGGACAGAAAATCTGTCTCTGTCTCTCCTTCTCTTATAAATTTACCTTTCCAAAAAAAAATCTGTAGAAGAAAAACTATGTCATTTCCTTTTGCTGTTCCATTTCCTTCTGAGAGACACTAAACCTGAATGAGCGCGTCTTGTATGTGCATCTGCAGCTTTTTTGCTTTTTAACATGGTGGCAGCGGGAGATTTATCCACATGCTTTTGTATTCGACTTCTCTCACTTGGCAGTGTAACTTGGAGATATTCCTCGGCAGTTATTCCATTGTATGGGATTCAGTTGGTATTGATTGATGTCATCTATTTTAGCGGTGCTACACTGAAAACCTACTCCGTGCTATCATATGGAGGTGCATTGCTAGAAATAATAAAGCCGGTGCTCTCAGAGAGTGTTCCTTCTAGTCAGGGAGACGAATATGAAGCTGTAATCACAGAAAAAATTCTTTCCTTAAAATGGAAACAACAGCACCCCAGGAAAGGAGAAGTGTGGCATGTTGGGCTGATGGGAATGATGGTGGAATGGTTGATAGCAAGGTAGGCTGGCGTTCACACAAAAACAGTGTCCACCCTGACATTTTGTGGAGTTTACAAAGCATGCTCTATCTCATTGTCTGACTTGACCTTTGAAAAGTCTCCATAAAAGTTTTTTTAAAATATTTATTTTTATTTAAGGGCCTGGTGCAATAGCGTAGCAGTTAAGGTCCTTGCCTTGTACGCGCCGTGATCCCATATGGTCGCTGGTTCTAATCCCGGCGGCCATGCTTCCCATCCCGCTCCCTGCTTGTGGCCTGGGAAAGCAATTGAGGATAACCCAAAGCCTTGGGACCCTGCACCCGTGTGGGAGACCCGGGAAGAGCTCCTGGCTCCTGGCTTTGGATCGGCTCAGCTTCAGCCGTTGTGAACCATCAGGATAGAATGAACCATCAGACGGAAGAACTTCCTCTCTGTCTCTCCTCCTCTCTGTATATCCGCCTTTCCAATAAAAAAAAATCTGTATAAAATATTTATTTTAATTTAGAAGGCAGACTTACAAAGAGAAGGAGAGACAGCTAGGACAATATTCCGTCTGCTTGCTGGTTCATGGCCCAGATGGCTACAACGGCCAGAGCTGAGCTGATCCTGGCCAGAAACCCAGGAACTTCTTCCGGGTCTCTCACATGTGTGTGCAGCATACCAAGATGGACCTTCCTCTGTTGGTTTCCCAGGCCGTAAACAGGGAGTTGGATGGGAAGTGGAGCAGCTGGGACAGGAACCAGTGCCCATATGGAATGAATGGTGCTTACAGGTGGAGGGTTATCCAGTTGAGCCAAAACACCTTCCCGACAAGTTTTGTCATTCCCATAGAACAACATGATACATAGGAAGTGTGAAGAGACTGGCAGTTCCTACTTCTCTGTCCTGTGTAATCCTTCGAGGGTTCCGATCCTCGG